GGAACATGAACAAATTGAAATGAATGATCCCAGTCAACAAAGTGATCTTAGTGACTATCAATTGACTAGGAATAGGTCTAGAAGGAACATAAGAGAACCTACAAGATATGAACACTACTTATCCTATTCTATCATGTCTTATAATGACCTAGCCTATAAGGAACCCAAGACCTATAATGAAGCCATGAGTTGCAACCAGTCTGGTAAGTGGGAAGCTGCCATGAGAGAAGAGATGAGCTCTTTAATGAAAAATAAAACTTGGGATCTCGTGCCTAGACCCAAAAATAAATCCATAGTTGATTGTAAATTGATTTACAAGGTGAAAGAAGGCAGTTCAGATAACGAGCCTGTAAGATTTAAAGCAAGATTAGTTGCTAAAGGGTTTACACAAAAATAAGGTGTGGATTACAATGAGATATTTTCACCTATTGTAAAATACACAACTATTAGAGTCCTATTTGCATTAGTTGCACATCACAATTGGGAATTAGAACAAATGGATGTAAAAACAGTTTTTTTACACGGTGATTTAGATGAGACAATTTATATGTCACAACCCGAAGGCTTTGTGAATAAATCTAAATCTGACTTTGTGTGCTTACTTAAGAAATCCTTATATGATTTAAAACAGTCACCTAGACAATGGTATAAAATGTTTGATAATTTTGTCATGACTGTTGATTTTGTAAGAAGCTCTTATGATCATTGCCTTTACTATAAGGAAAATTCTAATTCTTTAATATCTATTTTTATATTACTTTATGTTGATGACATGTTGTTAATTGGGTCTGATTTAAAACAGATAAATAATATTAAAGAGACGCTTGGGGCTGAGTTTGAAATGAAAAATCTGGGGCATGCTAAAAGAATATTGGGAATGGATATACTTAGAAAAAGAGCACAATCCATTTTGATTTTGAAACAATCAGCTTACACAGAAAAAGTCTTATCTAAGTTTTCCATGCCTGAATCAAAATCTGTGTCTTTGCCTTTAGCTAGTCATTTCAAATTAAGTAAAGAGCAATGTCGAGTTGAAGAATTTGATATAAGGTACATGGAAAAGGTTCCATATGCTAATGCTGTAGGGTCTATAATGTATACCATGGTCTGTACCAGACTTGATGTGGTTCATGGAATCAGTACTTTAAGCACGTTTATGGCTAATCCTGGTCCCGAACATTGGGAAGCACTTAAGTGTCTACTTAGGTACCTAAAATGCACATCTAACTTAAGATTAGTGTTTAAAAAATGTAATGAAGGAATAATGCTTAAAGGCTTTGTGGATGCTGATTTTGCTGGTAATAGGGACAATAGAAAGTCCACTTCTGCCTATATGTTTACACTTTGTGGTACCTGTGTGAGTTGAAAGTCTCAATTACAGCCTATAGTTGCTTTATCAACCACAGAGGCTGAGTATGTTGCTGCCACAGAAGCTGTAAAGGAAGCTTTGTGGCTTAAGGGACTATTATCTGAAATTAGAATGTTAAATGAACCTGTTGTTGTATATTCTGATAGCCAAAGTGCAATACACCTGTGTAAGAATCCTGTTTTTCATGAAAGACCTAAACACATAGATGTAAAGTTTCATTTTATTAGGGATACTGTCTCAAATGAATCTGTTCTTCTTAAAAAAATTCCTATACAGTATAATCCATCAGACATGAGGACAAAGGTATTGCCCCTTTCTAAGTTTAAATCATGTTTAGCACTTTTGAATATTGATACAGGTTAATTTCTTCAATAAATGTACAACTTGGTGTCAATTGGAGAGCTGCAAGTGTTCAGAAATCCCATTGGCATCAAGGTGGAGGTTGTTAGGTTGTGATGCCCAATGGCCTTTTCTGGGCTGTGATGACAAAATGGGCTAAAGCCCAATTACTGGTTTATTATTACTAAGCTCTTACCCAATAACTTGACCCGATCCACCCTGGCCCAAAAATGTTTAAAACGTGTTTCTGTGGCGAGGCGTTTTTAACGCAGCCAGAAACACGCCTTCTTCAGTTTTCATGGGAGCCCCTGACCGTTGGATGAAACCTTGATCAATGGTTGCCTTTTGTGGGTATAAATATATCCGTCTCTTGCCCTAATCAGCTAGAACGTCATTTTTCTTTCTTGAGCAGCAGCTTGAGACTTCGAGATTCTTCCAAAACCCTTCTTCTTCTTCGTGAACTTCCAATCTCTGATTGGATTCGATTTCTGAGTAAAAACTTCTGTGTAAAACTGATATACTAAGAGATTTGAAGGGATTGGTGTGTGATTTTACCCTTGTGGTCTCTTTTAATCTGATAGAGGAAAACCTTAGGGTTGGGGGGATCGTGTGGGTCAAACAAACGGGTACAATCCTGTGTTTTTCATAAGTCTAAGCCCTGAAATGAAAGGATCTCCATCTGATGCCTTTTGGTCTAAGTTTTGACGAACTGCAGGAGGAATAATGTTTCTGGAATATTTTCTTGTAACTCATTCTTGATTGTTTTATATATTTGTGCTCATATCTTTGTGTAACACATTTTAGGGTTATGATGAATCTAAGAACTCGCTCAATCCAGGTAATTTCTTAGTCTTATTGCAATTTTTGGCTGCTCATAATGTAGATATTAATAATGTCACATTGGAAAATGCTCTTCAAAATTGCAAATTGACATCACCTGATGTTCAAAAGGATATAGTAAGCGCTTATGCTGTTGAGATAATCAATGTTATTATCAAAGATGTTGACAATGCATTATTTTCTATTCTAGTTGATGAATCTCGTGATGTGTCAATGAAGGAGCAAATGTTAATTGTATTACGTTATGTAGATAATAGCGGACATGTGAATGAACGCTTCATAGGGATTGAACATGTTACAAGCACTACAGCTTTATCACTTAAGGTTGCAATTGATAAGATCTTTTCTAGATATAACTTGAGAAGGTCTATATTGAGAGGACAAGGTCATGATGGGGGCGAGTAATTTGCAAGGTAAGTTTAATGGTTTGAAAGCACTAATTTTGAAGGAAAATCCATATGCCTTTTACATTCACTGCTTTGCTCATCAACTCCAACTAGCGCTTGTAGCTGTAGCAAAGAAGAATATTCCTTTTACAAACTTCTTTCGTGTGGTTGGTGATGTGGTAAAAACCATTGGAGCATCTTCTAAGCGTTGTGATTTTCTTCGAAAAAAACAATCAGATATTGTTAAGGCATTGGAAAAATGTGAGATTTTAAATGGACGGAAACTTAATCAAGAAACAACCATTCAACGTTTTGGTGATGCACGATGAGGTTCACATTATAATTTTTTGGTCAGCTTACTTGCCATGTTCTCTTCTGTCAATGATATGCTTGAAATGATTGTTGGAGATGAATCTTGTTCTTGTGATCAAAGATCCGATGCGACAAATTTATTGGAGTCGATAAAAACATTTGATTTTACATTTAATCTACAGTTGATGAGAAGTGTCTTGGGGATGTCAAATGAACTGTTAAAGTCTTTGCAAATGAAAGATCAAAATATTGTGAATGCAATGTAATTGGTAAAATTGTGCAAACGACGACTCTAAATAATGAGAGACAAAGGTGGGACTCCTTTCTGGAAGAAGTATGTTGTTTTTGTCAGCAACATTATATTGACGTACATAACATGGATGATATGTTTGTACGTCGTGCACTTCTTGGTCGTCCACAATGTAATCCTCCAGAAATTACAAATTTACATCATTACCTAGTAGAATTGTTCTACTCTGTCATTGATTTACAATTTCAAGAATTGAATGATCATTTCTCGAAGGTAAATACAAAGTTACTCCTTTGTATAGCTTGTTTATGTCCACAAGATTCATTTTCTTCTTTTGATAAGAAAATGTTGATTTGACTTGCTGAGCTTTATCCATTAGATTTTTCAACGATAGATGTCATTGTAATTATTGATCAACTTGAGACTTATATTTTTGACATGCGCTCTAGCAATGAGTTTGAAGGGTTGAATGACCTCAGTGATCTTGCGGAGAAGTTGGCTTTGACAAAGAAAGATAAGGTATATCCATTGATTTACGAACTTTTAACTTTAACATTGATTCTATCGGTTGCTACCGCTACTGTGCAGAGAGTCTTTTCTACAATGAGCATCGAAAATGATAGATCGCGTAATGGAAAGAGTGATCAGTGGATGAGTGACAGCACAATTGTTTATGTAGATAGAGATATTTTTGAAACTCGATAATGAAGTTATTTTAAAACGTTGTCAAAGTATGAAAACTCGAAAGAAACGAGTGTAATATATAAATTATGTCATTTTTAGTACTATTGTAAGATTGTTTTATATTTTTATCATCATTAAATCAATGACCAAAAACTCGATGTTTGGCGGCGATAAAATTTTGCTCGCACTGAACTAATATTTTGGCTCCGCCCTGCTAAACCATCTGGCTTACTCTGCTGAAACATAAATTTGGGTATGCATACTTGTACGTGAATTCAGGATGAAAGATGAAAATTAACAAACTACTACCTTCAACTCTCCAATATGTTCCAACAATCAATTACGTCAGTCTAACGTTCAAATAGTAATCGAAATTCAAGATTGGCGGTGAGCCACTATCTTCCAGGCAGTAAACTCCCATATCGATTAATCAAGAAAACCAAGACTCGTACCTTCAAAAAAGCCATGCTGACGATGGGCACAGGCTCCATGGAGCCGGCAAGCATTGGATTGGCCGCACGGAGGCTGGTGGTCTAGATGATATTCGTTCTTCTTCCGCCACCGATTTCGCTTGAAATCTTTGTTTCTTTTTCTTGGTTTTGATATTTATGCGCGCTCAGTTGATACAAAAAATTATTAAAGCCTACTTTATGGTTATTGCCAACAGTTGCGATCGTTACAATTCATTCTCTTAGCTATGTTTGAAAAAATAATTTACAGCAGATGCATTATTTCTAGCTAATAATTAAGTCAAAAAAATTTGTTATCACTTCGCGTTAATTAAGCTTCCTCATGCACCCGTAAATTCTTGGGAAAAATATTGACACAAAAATGGCACTACTCATAAATCCACAAAAATCTAGTTTAAACAACAGTGATACAATGATGAACTTCAATGCCGGTTTAAAGGGGTTTTCAAGTTGTAGTGTTCTGCCAAAATCACATACAGCCATGGTCACAGACTTCATTCATTTGACCATTCTGTTCAGTTAGGTGGGTAAAAGGACTACTTTACCCTCTTAAAATTACATCTTCAGTCTCCAATACAGTACCACATCTATGGACATAACTTCATCTTCCCTTTCTTGCAGCCCTGGAGAACATGTCTTTGATATTTTTTGAATTCTCCTCCACTTTGGCCTTCTTAGTTTGCCTTGTGGTGCGCACAGTTTTCTTGTCTACCTTATTACTCTCCTGAAAGAAAAGTGAATTGTCATATGGAGAGAGAGAGAAAAAAAAACGCAAACTTCATAAACTCACAACCAGAAAGTCCATTCTATGTAGTTAGCAACAGATTTAGCATTGGTGTTTATGCAGTCACACCAGGCTGTTATTTATACTTGAATTTATTACTAGTCTACACATGTTTAAAAGGCATTCTGCATAATAATATTGAAGACAATGAATATGGTTAAAGTTTGAGGAGATGACAATCTTGGTCTACTCACTGTATGCGAAAGATATACAATTGAACACATACTAGGAAAAAGCAAAATAAATAAGAAACTGTTCCAGGATTACATACCTGTACAGGATTAAATGATGAAGGACCACTTCCATTGGAATGTAAAACTACTTCAGTATCTTGTGCGTTTACTGCCTCTTGTAAGTTTAATCTGCAATTTGCAATCACTAGAAAATGATTGGTAAGATGATTTCAGATGATAGCCCTTCTTTATCCAAACACGGAAGATTTAATCTCTTTCCAACCGCAATGCAAGATGTGTCGTAAAAGTTAGCAAGGGACAGAGACCGCTATATGAATGCAGAAGTGACCAATCTTCAGAATATATATGTTGATCAATTTGCTCTTATGAAAAATGCATATTTTTTATCACATTGATATCCAACATAAAAAGATACATTGCGTTCGCAATATTTCAAAATTCTAGCTGTCATGAAAAAGTCACCAAATCATGGTCGGCCACATATTACTCGCATGAAATCAGAGCAAAATTTTCTCCGTGTTTGGAAATTAAAATACTTATATTTCATAATTTTGATTAGTGCAAAATCTCCTTCCAAATGTTCCATAATTTGTGAATTTATTTACGTTAACCACAATGCTTTTTAATCCTAACCTCAAACTGCGCCAGACATGTTAGTCATCACACCCAATCGCCAGTGTATTTGGTTTGGATTTCAAAGCCATTCAGTTCGAAATAGGTGCTTGGCAAATTTTCGTAGCTATTTAAGACCATGCAATGAGATGACTATAAAGGGAAAAACAGATAATTGTTACATGGTGAAAAGCAATACTTGAACTTGCTGCACAGGAGGTTCAACCAAGGCTCTTCCTTCAAGTACTCTCCCACCATTGACACTGCATCAAATACTGTAACCATCCAAAGATGCTAATCAGTCTCAGCTCATTTTACATTTGGTTTACGGGAGAGAAAATTCTACCACCTGTATACTTGGTTATAATATCAAGGCAAAACGATGAACCCATGAACATTCATATTCATGAGACAGTGGCACGTAATGCATAATGTTGGACAAACAAAGAAAATAAATTTTAGCACACAAAAATGATTGAAAGTATGAATATAGAAACAGTAATGTTAAACGACAAGCAGCCTGTACTATGAAGATATTGCCCCGCAATCTAAGATGATGATGTATGGCAAGCAAAATTTGGTAAACCTATGATGCATGGTAGCAATGCCTTAATATTTTATGAATAAATTACAATCTCATTTGTTGTTATTATAGAATTTGACATTTTATACGTCCCTCAAAAACTAAAACAAAAATTAGATATCCCAATTCATCCCATAATAACTCATACACGTGTTACCATTGAACAAATCAATGACTATATTTCTAACATCACGTGACTGCATCTTACGGTTACTTTGATAAATTGTTTCTAACACACCTAAATGGTGAGTCTGATCCTTAAGATACGCACATCAGGTGTCTTATTGGATTATTGATGCCTAATTGGTAATCTTGCAGCTAGAATCCAAGAATCAAGTACCAAGAAATGTGCGTTTTGTATCATCAAGGACACTTGAAATCTCAAAATTCTTCATATATTATGGCCACAATAAACAGATGAATAAAAAATATTTTGCCTGTTAAGGTACAAGATATGCTTTAGGCTAAATATCAACTGGTCGGTCTTGGAGTAATACAAATATCAGTCTTGACAGGATCCTTGAGACCAACTTTTTCAATTGTACTCCTTATTGAAAATATTTACAAGAATGTTCTTCAATCTCAATATTTTACTTGCCTCCTTATTGATTGTAGCATGTGCAATTAAATGTACTATACAAAATCTTTGAATTGAGTCTCTTCATAACCTAGCTAGTCCAAAATCCAGATAAGAATCTCAAGAGGTTTGGAGTAATTAAAATTTAAAAGATGGGATGAGAGAAGGTGACAAAATTTTGCAAGCTACAGACATACATGTGTCTTTCTCATCTCGAGCGGCATAGTTCTTATCCAATGTTGGTATAGTCTTCTTCAGTTGATGGACCTACAATTTGTCGAGGTATTAAATAAATGCATGAGGGAAAAGGGATCGTGCAAAATAACTACAAAATTACATCCTGCAAACACAAGAACGTGTTCTCATTAACACTGATAACCACCTCCAAGTGAAGGCCAAAACAGAACAAAACTAACCTTGTAGGTCAACCATCTCAATACCTTCAAATCATTGAGCCTAAAAAACTTGGTCGACCCAATTTCTGTAAAATAGAAATGGATAGGGGAACAGAAAATCCTTCGTTAGTAAATTTTATAAATGACATAAAAATAGAGGAAGCAATTTACTTTGGCAGCTATATGTTTGAAAAGAACCAAATAAACCATGTTAATACCACACCTATGATATTTAGCCCCTGTTTGGGCTCCACTAAAAATGGTTTGGGGGGAATGTAACTTAGAATAGTGATTTTTTGGAGAATGTATGGTTAAAAAATAAGGAAAAATTTTGGGTTTATGTGTAATATTATTTTATTGGCGAATATTTGCTTGGAAAAAAGAGAGAAATACTTTTTCTTTTTCTTTTTTTAATTATGGGGCCTAAACAGGGGCTAAACAATTAAGCCATTTAATTTTCTGGAAATCTCTCCTATGATTTTGGAATGATATATAAGAGAAAATAGCCTGCAATATATTATATAAATATTAACTTTGACATGGAAGTGCCGCAACCCATAATAATTATTCTTTCATTTAATTTGGAAGATTTTATATAAGGACAAAGATAACATGTAAAGAAAGAAGATAAAAATTTGGTGAAACAAATTCAGAAAAAGTTTGGCAATTTGCTTAACAAGAGTTATGACAAGCCTTAGTAGCTTTGTTTGAAGTGAAAAGATCCTGGTGGACAACCTTGCCAAAGATTTCAACAAACATTGTCAATCTGCTGCCACAAATCTAAGGATAGTGAAGATAGAATTGAATAATTTAGCAGTTTCATGTGTTCTAAAATAGGTGACCAGATTACATATCTTCTCACTTCAACAAAGGTAGTATGTCCGTGTCTAACAAGTGTCTGCTATCAACACTCCTTGAACACTCTACCATGATTATTTTTCCTTTTTATAAGAAATATTATATATTTTTAACTTTAAGTTATTTGAAAATATACTAATATGTACCCATATTTAAAACATTTCAATAAGAAAAATTAATAACAAGTATAAAACTAAATATACAATATAAAAGTGAAGAATTTTTAAGGAATTTAATCAACGTATCGATAACGTGTCGTGCCAGTACTTTTTCAAAAATCGCATTTCAGCGTATGTGACAGGTGCGTGTCGGTGCATTATAGCATATGCAAGAGAGGAAGAAGTACGCCTCAGAAGGAACACTAACAGCTGATAAATGTATCCTTAATTACAAACCAGTAATTGGAAATATTCAACCCCCACCCCCCACCCCAACCACCCACACATACACTAAGCATTAACATGCAAAATTGCCGTATGTACAGCATGTACCAAAAGAATAGCAAATAGATCACCTTTGAGATCACAGACTATTTGCATAGATTTCTCCGCAATGGACAACAGAGAATGATATCCAGGATAGCCATCAATATAAACTATCTCATCCAATTGCCTAAACATTCCCGGATCATCCCCTTTCTGCACAAATTACAGTGAGGAATCACTAAAGATGATAAGGAGAAACTAGGTTACCACACATCTTTATATTTGCACTTCACAAGTTGACATTACAAAAAAACATGAATGAATCATATTTTTCAGAGCACAGAAGAACAGCCATTGCAAAAATAGTCTTTTGATATATAAAAATTATTGTCCATAACAAAATGGTTATATTCTACTGCTTGTGAGGTTAAGTCTAACTAGAAGCATATGCCGGAAGAGCAAAGCAGACAAGGAAAAGCATCTCAAATCCAAAAGCCACAACCAACATTAAATAGTAACTGCAGACCTTCATTCGTGCTTCCTCAAAAATTGGCAACAGAATGAAGACAGGATCAACTGAAGTAGCAGTGTACAGGCGACCATCTGTATAGGGAAAATGAAAAAGAACTAAATAAGATATGTTGACCGAGAAATTTTGGCAGGATTCTTATTATTCACTTGTGAAAAGCGATGTGGCATGAAAGCACTTGGAAAAAGACTGCAAAAACTAAAAGTTAAAAGTTTTGCCAAATGGCACATATCAATCCGTTCAAATTGTCATCCATGGTGAATGACATGTACATGGATGTGCAAATTATGCTAAATGGATGTCTTCACCTTCACAAACATAGTCCCCAAGGAACCAAGACCCATAAGATTGCTTGAACCAGTGAAGTTCTTGAAGAACTCCATCAATTAAGAGGTAGCATGCCATATTTCCTGTCATATAAGTAAAATCGCCTCAGAGACTTGAACATAAGATAGTGGAATTAGCATCCAAAGTCAACAATCTGTTTGGCAAACTTAATAAATCAATTTATAAATAATCAAATTTCATTTTCAACCGCACATTCAAATGGACCAACACGTACTAACCGCTTTTCCACCACTCGTTTTTGTCTATTTATCAATGAAACCGTTTACAAATTCTTTCAAACGGATGCTAAGTAATTTTTGAAAAAGGAGGAAAATGGAATCATTTGAAAAGATAACAATAATAAAAAAATTAATGAGCCTGATATACTAGAGAATGAGCTGAGCAGACCTTGCTCATCTCCACAAGGTATAAACAAGAGATTTCACTGAGGAAGAAAAACTACCAGTTTTGGGATGCTGAAGTGATAAAAACTGGCCCACTTGCTTCCTGCTTGTGGAAGGATCTGCAATTATAAGCTTAAAACCCTAATAAATCGCTAAGGTGAAATAAGCAAGATGATTGATTGCATAGCAGATTCAACTAGTAGTAAGCAAAGTGCCTCATCAATAAATACAGTGAAACATACAAGAAAAAGAATGACACTGAAAGGAAAGACAACTATTGCATTGATTACGATTTAACATGTGTTTATTAATTTCCATAGGCCATCAGTTCAAACTTTCAAGTTGAACAATTTGACTGTTGCATTAACTCTATAATCCCAGGTTCTGCACAAGGATGCACAGGCCAGCTTATAATATCAATACTTATATAATTGTTCCCTGAAGTAACTGCAACAGGTATGGTTTCCGGATACTCAGCCTTTCTTATTTAAGTTCTTGTGACATCTGAAAATCCGAGTTCACCCTATGTTAATTTGTTAGTTCTGTAGTTGTTGAGACAAATAAATAGTCCCTAAAGTTCGCTGAATAATTTTCCAAGGGAAATATATTAGACGTACAAATACATTTCACAGAAAACACAAGAAATCGACAGCATATGCAGCAGGTGTTTAATTAATCAATTGAGCCTGCGTGTTTACTGTACAATAAAATTGTAAAGCCTAGACTATTTGTGATGGCGCCTTTTTCTGTCAAACGCAAAGATTATTAAAATTGTGGAAGTATGATACTACAATTTTACAAGTAAACTTGGATCCCAGGCCATCCAGAAAAGAAAAATAGGTTAACAATCGTTAAAAGAAGTATACAACATAGAAAATCATCCAAGAACAGAGATAGGAGAATAAATTGCAAAGCAAGGACATCTCAAGAGAAGTATGCTTGAATAAAATTATCAAAAGAATTCAAAAGTTTTCCTTTCCAGTTGTAATATAACATCAAGAAATAGTATAAAAAAATTTCATGCATGTGTCATGTTGTAACCTATGTTTTTTTCTTTCAGAAGCTAACTTTTGAAATGACACAAACTGTAAGTAGTTGTTGAAAGGCTCACCTTTGTTTCATTCATATATTGATGTATGGGAAACACGTGAAACTTGTAAAATTTACAGCAATATGTAAAAATACATTTATCTCTACACTAATCCCGAGAAAACGGAAAATAAAGAAATAAAAAGGAGAAACTGACAAAATAAAAATTGAAACAAGTTCAAGAGAATGCTAATGAACAGATATTAGTGATTAAAACTTGGTTCAGCTGATAAATTTACATTGTATAAGAAATGTAGACAACAAAAAACGTCAACTACCAAATGAATAAAATCCGTATGCAAGATAATACCTGGTGCAATCAGAACACGAGTTTCATTTACGCCTTCCCACCGAGCCATTGGGAGCTTTTAGCATGAAGCAGAAATAGAACAAAAAAAAATTCACTTCGACAAGCTGCAATCTTTATATGAATATTGACGCATATTTTTTTCCAACTCAAAATCCCCAGAAAAAGGAAAAAGAACAACTATTGGTTTGATCGGCGGCGACAGCGATTCGAAATCTCTGTGATTTATTTTGAAAAGAAGTAAAACCCTAACCTTGAGCTTTGTCGATTGGAGTTCAGCGTTTTTCCCTTTCTGTTCACAACAGTCCTTCACATTTCACATTAGAGATTAATTAAAAAAACGTAAAATTTGACTGATTATTTAATGTCACGTTAACGTCACTTAGATTGAGTTGTTCACATTAACGTCACTTAAATTGAGTTGTAATTTCAGTGAATTTAAATAGCATTACTCAAAAATAAAAAATACCGGCACTTTAGCAACCAACCATGTAAATGCGGCTTAATTTATAGCGTAGAAAATTGGAGGAAAAGATACGACGGAAGGAAGTAGCCTAAAACTAGGGATGGCAACGAGTCGAGTCAAACTCGCGAGTCGAAAATCAATGCTCGAGCTTTTCAAAGATGGGCTTTTTTCTTTGCCCTAGCCGAGCAAAAGTTAGGCCAAAAAATCGAGGCTCGGCCCGAGCTGCCAAAATGGGCTGAGCTGAGCCAGCTTGTTCCCCCCACCCCCCTCTTTTTCTCCTTTTTTTTAAAAGGCATCTGGTACTAGCTGCCTTTTGTTTCCTTTGTACTAGCTGCTTTTTCACGCCTTAATTGGTTTTTTTTTTTTTTTGACCCGGCTCGGCTCGGCCCAGACCCCCAAGATGGGGCTCGGATTGAGCCTCGAGCCGAGCTGGCTCCAACTTTTTGCAGCCCGAGCTATGGGCAATCCGAGCTCTCAAGCCTTTTTGCCATCCCTACCTAAAACTTTACCATTCCATCTTTTTATTTATAATAATAATAATAATAATAATAATAATAATAATAATAATAATAATAATAAATAAATAAATAAATTGATAACTACGATCATTTAATCCTATTTGATTCAATTGAAAGTTTTATTATAATTCAAGTTAAAATTAATAATTAATTTAAATCATATATTTTGTAGAATTTGCAAATTTTAAACCATATATTTTATCAATTTTTTTATTAAAATCTACTAAAATTTTTATTTTTATTTAAATCGCATAGGGACTTGAGGTTTAACTTTGACAAATATTTAAAAAAATAATATTATCTGACACTAATGGTGTTAGAGTTTAAGTTGTCACACTTGATATATTCAATTAAAAAAATCGTGTGATATTATATTTAGGATGCCTTTGATTGTAAGTATGAAATTTGCATAGAAAAAAATAAATTCTATGTAATTCAATTACTTATAACTTATTGCATGAAAATTGTCTATTAAATGTAATCGATTAATTTAATTTTTAATCTAGAAAATATTTTACTTGTCTTTTTTTTTTTTTATTGGTAGGTAAATGAGCGAAAGCAAAAAGATGAGAGAGTGAGTGAATTCCCTATAAAATAAAATCTTACTTGCCTTAAAAAAATATTTTCCTTGATTTTGAGGAAAATATGGTCACGTGATAAAAAATAAGAAAATATTTTCTATGAAAAAATGGCTATGAAATAGCACAAAAGTAAAAAATTTGAATGGAAAAAAATATTTTTCATGAAAAATATTGAAAATCAGAGGTATCTTTATCATTTGTTTGATTGCAAATATGAAATTTACATGGGAAAAAATAAATTATAAGGAATTTAGTTTAGAAATTATTTGCATAAACATTATCAATCAAATGTATTTGATTGATTTTATTTTCAACCTAAAAATGTTATACTTGTCCATTTTTTATTGATAGATAGATGGAAAAGAAGGAGAGTAGATGAGAGAGAAAGAGCGAGTGAAATACTTCAAAAATAAAAACCTACCACTCCTATACAAAATATTTTTCTTGTTTTCAAATAAAACATGGTCATATGACTAAAAATAGAAAAATATTTTTCCATAAAAAAAAAATCAATCAAACAATACAACGATAGGAATTTGGATGGAAAACAAACATTTTTTATGAAAAATATTTGCAATCAAAAACACTATTAGAGCAATGCTATTTAGCATTATTGGTGTTTAGCACCAATCTATGTGACAGTATTAGTAACATTAAATTATAGGTTCAATTAAATACAAGAAATTATGACCCATTTAATATGATATATGATATACTTTATCTAGACTGATGTTTAATACCACTAATGCTAAATAGCATTATTTTTGCATTCAAATGAAACTATCATTTAATATCATGCAATTGTCATGTAAATTGATACTTAATACTAGTAGTATTGAATAGCATTACTTATGTCAAAATGAGTAATTATATTGACGTCATAATTTTTTGTTAATCACACGACATTATAATTTCAATGAACCTTTGCTCATTTTTGAACTTATGTTTCCAACTATTTGTAATCGCATTTTTTGTGGTAAACTTTTTATCTTTTCACCTCATCTTCGATGATAGTTTTCATACAAAAATTTGGTTAAAATAGTGTAAAAAACTAATTTGCCTATTTTCTTTTTTAAATATAGAAAAATAAACAATAAATACAAAGTTTAACTAAATATTTCATCATCATTTCAATAAACGCTAACAGAATATTTTGATAGAAATCTTTAATAGGACATGATTAATTAAAGATTACAAATACAAAGGGTAAATAGCACAAAACATTCATATCTTTTCATTTTTTGACATTTTCACCTATATTTCCACTTTTTATTGCACAAAAAGTCATTTTTATCCATTTTTCTAATAACAATACGATTTTACCCTCATATTCCAATAAAACAAAGAGAAATGAAATGAAATGAAACGATAAAGAACTAATTGAAACAATAGTCCCAAAAATTTTAAATAATTACAAATTAATTACAAATATATAATTAAAAATCAAAACTAAAAAAATAAAAAATCATTCAACTTCTTCATCCATCTTCTTGTTTCATTTCATTTAATTAAAAATCAAAACTTAAAAAAAAAAAAAAAAAAAACTTGGGCCCACTTCCGCTTCTTTATATATATGATTTCATTCATACAAAAGTATGTATTCACTCTAGCCAAATCCTTTCTTCCTCTCTTGCGCTCTCCTTTTCTCTCGTCCAACTGTTGATTTGATCGTCGGAGTATAAACACTTTTGCCTTCTAATGAGGTGTTTCGGTGTACAGGTGATGTCTATATGGGGAGGGCGAGATCGAGATTCTATAGACACTTTTTTTTTGGGTCAATAGATTGGTGTTGTCTATAGGAATGTGCGAGTCTGACTTGGGGATTATTGTTACACCAATAAATTACGTCGCATCGACTATTCAATTGATTGAGCCTATTTAATTAAATAATAGCATAATGAGATTTGATTGACTTATGTAATCTGGTAATATCATATTGGGCCTGAACTTAGACCTCGCATCCACCTCAATATATATATGTGATTTCATTTCACACGAATGTATGTATTCTAACGTTAGCCAAATCCCCTCTCCCTCTCTTGCACTCTCTTTTATCTCGTACAACCGTTGACTTGATCCTCGAAGTGGAAATGGTTATCGAACATTTGTCTCGACCGACAATATTTTTTTTCTAACGGGATGTTCAGTATGTAAGTGATGTCTATGTGGAGGGGATGTGATCGAGATTCTATTGATACATTTTTTTGGGTCAACAAAACTGATTCAAATATATTACTCTTTTTATGTCGGATTAATCCATTTGTACAGAAGGAAGTTTCAAAAAAGATTGACAAAATACTTTCATAATATGAGGCCCATCGTGAAAAAATTTTGCCTAAAAATACCCCATGTGTGTGTGTTCTGACGGGTTTACGTGAAGAAACATTCTATACATCAAGCAAAATTCTTTTTATGTCATGCTTTTGGGTGGAGTAAGAAAAGTAAAGCTGGGCCCACGCTTCTCGAACTTTGTGACACCGGCCCCTGTACGACTGATGGAGAGCAATTGGCGGATTCATTCACCGTCTCCAATGGTTCAAAATTGTTGATGAATTGAATGTTTGATGAGGGAATTGGGATGGCAAATCAGCATAGTTAGTCAATATTATTTATTTTTAATTTTCTTGGTAATTGACAATGGGCAGCATAATTTCTTGATCTTGAAAAATCTGTAAAATAAAACAACAATGTAGTCATGAGGAAAATTTTGGGAACCCTCCTGGACTAAATATTAAATAGTCTGTAAGTGTGATAAAAAAATCGTTAGTTCGTCAAATCAACGAAATCGCAGTTATAACACCGTTTGTTTGAGTATATGTTATTTAGGTCTAGAAAGTTTCAAAATCGAATCAAATCATTTGGAAATGGTCTGATTTAGATTTCGATACTTTAAACCAAACTCGACCATTCACCTAGTTAGAAAAAATAAATTATTTATCCAATATATTTTAGTTAGTAGATCAATTTATAAGCTTACTAGTTGGCTTGCATTGGTTCTTTAGGAAAATAATGATTTATTTATGATAATATTTTTCTTAAACTCATTAAACTCGAAAATTCGAGGCTAACACCAATGATAATTTACAAGTATCTCGAAAAAAGTACTCAACTACAGCATTTAACACCCTTTGTTACAGTCAATAATCAAAGATCCATCCTTAGTGTTCCAACACAAGGGTTAAAAGCCAATTTCACAATAGATTATACAATACTGGCATTACAAAAGCTTTTACAGAAAGATTGCATTCCAAACGCTGTTTGAAGTAAATGAAATTTACAAATAATCCTATTCGATTCTTCTTTCTTGTCTTTGTATTTTGATTCTGTCTACTTCAAAATGGTGCAAAACAGGCTAACGACACGACATAAAACAACTCTCATTGGTTAATTTATTTATTCTTCCTTAAATCCATTGTTCCCCAGTTCTGTTCTTCTATTTGCGGACTGCATATCAATCAAAGCATTGAGTTGTCTTGACTGTGAAGTAGCGTTAGCAGTGCTGTGGCTGCTGTTGCGGGCAGCAGGTACGTCGTGATTATGCTTGCCCTCGTATGTCGTCACGACAGCTCTCAGGTCGCTTGGAGCCCTTTCAACGTGTTTGCGCACATTGCAGCCGGCGCTGGTGCACTTGTAGTAGCTTCTGCAAACAGAATTAAGATTATTCAGGAAAGATTCCGAAGAAACTATAGAGATTCATTACAAGCACCTAATCCAAGCCCGACCTTGGGAACGGGTTTCCTTTAACGACTTTCTGACCGTATTTTCGCCACCTATAACCATCATCTAAAAGATCAACTTCGCTTAACGTCTGAACAATGATCCTAGGTTCTGTAACTGTCCGGTGGTTCGTTGCTTGTTCAGAAGTCTGAACCTCTATGTTCCTGCCAACATTTTAACACAAGACACTTGTCAATGTATACAGAATAATTCATAACTGTCCGCAGGTTGTACATATACCTTCGCTTGGATTGTGGTTCATCGTCATCCCATTCATTGACTCTAGTTTCAGCATTACCCACTTCATCACTGTCACTTGATCCAGATACACGTTCCGGTGTAACTTGGCTCGACTCAGAGCTCCCTTGAGCATTGGAGGCTCCACGCTTATTGGGTGGCTGGTGATTATGCTGTCCCTTGTATATGATCTCAGTTATTTGTCCTTCAAGAGACCGTTCGACTTTCTTCTTCACCGGACAATTTGAATTAGTACATCTATAATAGCTTCGAGGATACTCGCTGCTCTTCACTTGCTTTTGCCCGTACTTGCGCCAATTATACCCATCCTCTGCAGGTTTATCAACGGTCAAGTTAGAAGGTTGATATGTCTGATCAGAATGAGAAATATCCGATGACTCCTTCATTTTATGGCTGGCCTTCGGGGGCGGCATCTGTTGTCGAGCCCGAGCCTGAGTCGAAACTTGAGCCAGCATTTTTTGATGAGAAATCCCATTAGGACCCTATATCAAGCAAAAAGTCACAATAATTAATGAACTCTTTCAAATTACTAACACAAAACATATATCTTCTTTTTCAAACAAATCGTCGATTTCTTCATTACAAAAATTTCAGTTTTGGACCCAAAAGATTCCATCTTTCACTTCTGCTATATAGTATTCAAATAATTCACAAGTTATAATTAAATACACGTGTTAATTTATTTCTCCATTATAATTATGAAACATGTAAATTCAATGTTTAATCGAATACCTGAGCCGGTGGAAAAATCCCCGTCGAATCAAGCAAGCCCGCCGGAGTCATTCCCGGCGGTATGGTAAGCACACCCAGTTGCTCCGACGCCACCAAGCCTGCCGGCCTATTCAGCTGAAACACATCACCACCGGAATTCATATGAGCCGCCGCATCATGGGACGGAGGAAAGTCACGCCTGACATTTGGCACCGCGGTGGGAGACGCCATGGCGCCGGCAAGCAGCTGAGAAAACGACCGGAAGTCAGTCTCTGGTTCATTTTCAGTAAAGAAACTGGAAACCAAAGTCATCGGACCTGGGCTTGCTCCTGACCCGCCGATAAAATAATTCTCCATTGAACTCCGGGGCGGCAGAGTTATCATCGGCCGTATAGACGTTGGAGGTTTAGAAGATGACTGTTCTCGTTCAGACATCGGAGTTTCCTCGAATTTTGCTTTTTATGTATGATAAATAAGATTTTTCAAGCTCAAAATGAAAAGGGATTCTTACAGGGAGAATATCTCTGTTCCATTTATTGGTTTCAGCTTAAAATCTGAAAGTCGTCTATGTAGAGAGAACCTTTTTCATCGAGAAGTTAAAAGGTCAACGTAGTAGATACAAAAAATGTTGAGAGATATTTGCACTTTGGCCCCTGTACTATCAATTTATAGCAAACTACTCCAGAGAATTTTGGAATGCTTTACGTGTTCAATGTGTGTAATTAGCAGGAGTATTTATGGAGCACCTTGGATATAACCGCAGGACGTAATCCCCATCTTATTCTAAGAATTTCAATGTTAGTCAATATTTAGGTGAATTTACACATTAAGATTATAGAAGGTTGATGATTATTACAATTTATTTTCACTCGATACTCAAGTATTTTAGTCAATATTTAGGTGATTTTACACATTAAGATTATAGAAGGTTGATGATTATTACAATTTATTTTCAACTGTAAGTCTTAATTAAGATGTATGTGATTTTTAGGTTAAGATTACCATATTCTAAATAGCGATACTATGAATTTGATGAGATATTTAAATTTTAGTCAAGTTGTGAGCAATATATGCATTGAAATTATTATTTAAAAATGTCGATTACTATAATATTGAAATAAATTCTTGCACGACGTGTTGAAGTTATTATACGTTACAGATAATTGCTACAATCTCCTATGTCAATTATTGAACGTGATAACTATCTAGTCAAGATCTCTGTAATTTTTCACTTTTAGATTATTAGTTTTGAATGACGGTTGTTGTAATTTTGTATGTACCTAACTAATTTATTTGAAATTGATTTTATCTTTTTTATTTCAATGATAAACAAAGTATTAGGATACTTGTGCTCACAATTGAGGCTTTAGGAGGTCCACTTGTGTTTAAAATGTTGGTCTGCATCGTATGCTAGAAGTTTAAAGTTAAACTGAGCAACTAACTACAAGTGAAGTGATTGTCGGTAGAAGCTTGCTATAGGTACCCGGAGTTTGCTTTAGGAGGTCCACTTGTGTTTAAAATGTTGGCCTGCATTGTATGTTAGGAGTTTAAATTTAAACTGAGCAACTAACTACAAGTGAAGTGATTGTTGGTAGAAGCTGGCTATAGGTACCCGGAGTGTCAAACTCCGGGTGACCTGCTACTCAAGTGAGGGGTTGGGGCCCCACGTTAATAAATGTGTAGGTCCCAACCCCCTAACTCACATCGGGTGACTTGGTGTGTCAAACGTCGGGTACAAATAGAAATCTCCTCGTTGGTAATAGAGATGACAATTTAAATAGAAAAAGTTCAACTTCGTTGTGTTCATTCTTGACAGAGTGATGTATGACGAAGATGGGAAATCCCTGCCCCACCACGTCCCTTCTCGATTGTTTAATATCTAATTAGTCCAATTTTTATATGTCCAAACACAAAGTGATTACTCGAGCCTATCAACCCATTTATATATTATAGTACATCCAGAACGTTCGATTCAATAAAATTGAACAAAATTCTCTATCTCTATCCCTCAATTCTCTTCAATTTCGTGTTCCTTCGTATAACGAGAGAAATATACCAAAAGGAACTTTGTTGTTGGAAGTTCTTAATCTTTAGCACCGGCTGATAGCGATATGTGACAAGTGGTGAATTGAAGAGGAAGCCAATAAAACATGTCATTTTCGTACCATTTTAGTTAATTAACTTTATTTTCTTTGTTTAGGTGGGGAGGGTTAAATTTTCTTGTCTACATTAAATGCAGACCGGGAAACACTGCATTTGGTCAATAGATGTACAAACATGGCATTGTTCAGTAATTTATTGACAGGAGAAAGTGTGATAGATGATCAACAAATGGAAGGAGTCTAAAACTACAATAAATAAAATTTTTAAGTTGTGTGGACCTGCCTTAGTTGTTATGTTAATCATTCAAAACTTAATGAAACTGGTGTTCCATAAGTGATAGGCGTGTTATAAAAAAGTGATAATTGTGTTTTTTACATGCTTATACGGATTTCTAAATTGACTTAAAGATTAATTAATTGGGAGAATTTTTATTCGCTTTACGGTTAATTTGACTTTTGTAGGATAAATTGGGGATTCTGTTTGGTGAATAAATTAATCAAAATGAAGTGATTTGGAGCATTAATTGGATACAAAAATGGTGGTAGATAAAGGTTGCGAAATTATAGGACTTGATTGGAAGATTCCATAAAGTTTGGGGACCAAAATGAAGAGAGGAAAGCTAAATGACCAAAATTGAAGAATTTAGAAGTTACCAACTGGAAGAAACCAGAATTAGAGGATCAAATGGAATAAACTAAAAGATCATGGACCAAAATTTGAAGAAACTAAAATGCTCATCGTGGGGACCAATTCTGCAATTTCTGGTCATTGAACAAACATTCTAAGAGCATCTCCATGAGATCTCTTATGCAACAGATTTCTCTATTTTAAAGAGTCGGCTCTTAAAATCATGCTTCAAGATACTTTTTATTTTAATTTAAAGAATGGGTTTGGCTCTCCAAATTTGGAAAACCAACTTTAACTCTCTATAATTAAATGTATTCAAAGTATTTCAATTTTCAATGTAAAAAAATAATAAAATAGTTTAGAAAAATGCTAATTAAAATAACAGATGAAGAAAAATAATAAATATTTTTCTGGAATAGTAAAATTAAGTGTTAAAGATAAAGATTTAATTGAAATATTTCAAAATTTTAACTCTCTAAATTTTATAGACACTCTTCAAATAATAGAAGATACTTTTAAAACTAAAGAATCTCTTGGAAATGTTTTAAGTCAAGTAAAATTTAAATTTATAAATGCTCTCGAAATGATAGAATATAGTATCTAAAACTAAGGGTAAAATTGTCACTAAGGATCTAAGTGCTATCAAAATGAAAGATTGAGGATATAAATACTACTTTGAAAAGGTTGGGGATAAAAGTGCTCCAATTGCCTAATATTGAGGGATCTCTATTGCTATTTGCCCGGAGAGAGATTGGTATTAGGCTATTAGCAAAGCTCCATCACATATAGGTAAAAAAGAGGAAGAAAGTCCCCCGGGGAATATCCCAGTGGTGCAAAGGACAAGGGTGAAGTATACTCAGCCTTTCTGACAGTCGCAGTGTAATAATTCGATTCCTGAAACATAAATTGAAACTCTTTGTAAGCATCAGTGTATATGCAACTCTTGTTCTCTGGCCTGTTGAGACATATTCCACAATTAACCTCTTTCACGATACTTCAGGGATGGGGTTGTGGGAGACCTTTAAGGTTGGGGTTCAACCTTTTTATGAAAAAGAGGAAGAAAAAAAACGAATAGAAGAATAATCACGAGTGCCTGGAGCACAATATGAACTTACTAAAAAGTGAAATCATGGTTTAGAGAGATGTTAAAAACATGTAGTAATGCGAACATGGTTCAAAATGGCTGCTTATATTTTTAGTCAACAGCTTCCATATACCTCCCCAGCGAAATCAAAAGAATGCTAAAAGAATGAATTTGGTGGTGGAAGATTAAGGGGAACGATGGTAGACATCCAGCTTATTTTTCCTGTAATTTTGATATGTGCTGTCTAGTCATGAAAATTGCGTACCAATTGAAATATTAAAAATGAAATCAATGGTTCCATCTCCATTACGGCACCGAATTGTTCAATCCAAATTCAATTCCTTCAATTTAGATTTTTCCCATTGTAAAAACTTTTAAACCATAACAGAAAGAATTAGACTTTTCACACTGTAAAAACTTTTAAACCATAACCATTTAAGTATCTATATTCTTCGTAATCTCTTCGTTAAAACTATTAATGTTGATGTTAATAATTAGCTTTTTTCAAATTTAAGTCGACTATTTACGTCAACTGGCTAATTAGAAATAGAATGTTGTTGGCATGAACTGAGTTCTTGGAAAAAATATTCCCAAACCTCTTATTAGTCCAAAAATTACATCAATGAAATTTTAGAAAATCGTTTATCTAGTTTTATAAATAAAACCACAGTGAATTAAAATAAATTGACGTACTATGATGAGGTCTAGTAAAAAATGTAAAATGCTAGAAGCATAGAAATTATGCCCTTTTAAAATAAGGAATTTACTTTTACCATCATTATTTTTTTGTCTTCAACCGAGATTTTGGTGTTCAACATTATACCAAGAACTGGACTGAATAGATCGTTTCTCAAATTTAATATACAAAATCGATTAAAGTAAAACCAGATCAAATCGACCGCTTCCATCTGATTTTGGATGGGTCCAATGGTTCTCGTAATTAGTCCATCCCCACCAAGATCTTAGAAACACCTGTTTCCAAGAAATGAACCTAAAGGAGAGGACGAGAAAAAAGGAATCTTGAGAGAGAGAGAGAGATTATGGTAATTTGGCCAGAAAATGCGAGAATTCATTTGGCAATATTAATAACCAAAGAAGAAATGCTCTAACCCCTTTCAAATGACATAATTTCTAAAATCTAGCAAACACAGCTACTTTCAACTCAACAAAATTTCCATGTTGCAATTCCAAATTAGCCCAAAACAAATAGTAACCAACAACAAAAGATGTACAACAAAGAGACAACTGTAGAAATAAAACAGGGCAATAAAGATAAACATCTCATCAGTTCAAAGAACGGTGAAACAAGAGAACCTTATGAGATGGGACGAGTAGCCTCTCGGTAGTCAAGGACATGAACCATCAATTATTCAGTTTGTATAATCCTGAATGAGATGGCACACGGTCCTCCCATCCTTTACTAATCTAATAATATCAAGTCTGTCTCATTGAATATGAAATCATTGCACATAAATTAAACAGCTACTTGGTGCCAATATCCTTAAGGCCACAAATCTGCTCCTCTCCCATTGCAGACATAACACTCACAACAAGGTCCTTCCCCTCAGCAAATCCATCCTTGATCTGTCCATTTTACCAAAAAAATGTGGATATTGGGAACAAAATATAATAACAAAAGGACATTCTTAGCAATAGATAAAAAGATTGAAACCAAACAAACCTGCTTCAACATATTTTCATCAGTTGGAAGCCTCAAATCATCCTTAGTGCTCCCATTTTCAGTTAGCAAGCTCACCTAAACCATATTTGCAAACTACTATTAGTTAATGCAACCAATTTCATTATAAAGAACGACAAATAGCAATGAATCAACGTACAAATCCATCCTCAGAGATGTCTATAAGCTGATAATCAGTGCGATTAACATGAGGAACCTGTAAATCAATTATGGGCATCTTAATGATCGTAACAGCAGCATAAACCATGGCAGAATGCGTAAGGAACAACAAAGAGAATGTGCATACATCACAATTGTGGGAAGAGGGGACAATATCCTCAAGCTTCTTCGCAGTGAAGATGTCAATCGCAACGAAGTGACATTTAGCGTGACCATGCTTTCCAGTCTTGGAGGTTGAAACTTCAACAACCTGCTCAATCGTGCACACAAGACATAAATCCCAGATCAGATGAATGATCATTGAAAAAAAGAAAATCATGTCAGATTTCACCATCACGAGTCGATACACCTTATTAGTAGCAGTGCGGATGGTCCTCAGATCCATGGGTTATATTGAAAAGGCACGATGCATAAATCAGTTTGTATTGTCGTTATAATTTATCAGAACTACCGATTGCAAACATTATATAATCCTCTCTGATAAATTTATATATTATATAAGCAAGAAATCATAAATAAAAACAAACAACTTACATAATTTTCAAACATCAGAACTTATAATTATACAAAGCTCAAAGACATCTCCATTCTAAGATATTATATATTCAAGCTAACAAGTACATATACACTAAACCAGACAAACCATCTAATAACCAAATATTAGAATAAAAATAAACAATAAAAAATAAAAAATCAGAAATTAACATATTAAGAAAACTATCTAATCAGATATCAAAACAAAAATTCAAAAAAGAAAAAAGAAAAAAAGGACAAAACTTTGAAATCAGATAATCGAAGAAGTTAATTATAACATGAGCTATAAAGAATTTAATCAAAACTAGCAATCTAATTAACTACCATGTCGACAACTCGAAACTGTCGATAAGACACTCAGATCCGAAATGTAACAGAATAAACACAGTAACATATATACTTATACATCAATCCACGATTTCCATATTTACACACAAATCACATAATATATAAATAGAAAAACAAACCTTGCAAGGGCGTCCTTTGATAACAATGTAACCATTCTTACGGATGGTACCAGCCTGCTGAGGGAAAGTTTTGGAGGCGCCGGCATCAGCCTTTGACTCGAAGTGATGCTCCTCGTCCGACATGGTTAACGAATCAGAAAAAGTAGGAAATTTTCTACAGAGAGCAGAAAAGAAGGCTTAAGGGAGAGAGAGTGAAGTAGGTGGTTTGTATATGGGTTTGCGGAGGAAGATTTTAGGGTTTCTGGATTAGAAAAGGGAATTTGTACCGCTGGATTAGAGGGTTGAAGCGGTGGACGGATAAGATTTCTTTGGGATTTGCGTCAAGGCTGTGTTAAACAGAAGGGAAATGATAAATGTACAAGTGCGGTACATTTATCCAGTCGCTCACAAGAGGAGCCCACCATATGTAAGACTTGCTGTACACCAAACGTCTCCATAAACAGAATCTTATCTTTGCAACACGGGGGAGTAGTTTTAAATTTAACCTAGCCAAATTACCAAAATTTCACATTGACTTTTCAAAACATAAATATTATCACTTAAACCTCTTCAACATTAAAAGACAAAAAACCCTTAATTATATTATACAATTACAAAATTTTATTTTATTTAAAAGACATTATTAACTTTTTAGTTAATAATTGAAAATCAAATACTTTCAACTTAAAATTTGAAAACTATCTTCTAACATAAATAAAAACTCTCATCTTTTATCTACTTTGACCTCAAAATTTCATAAAAAAATTCGAACACTGAAACAGAATTTTTATATCAATTACTTTAAATTAGTAAGTATATTTACACATATTTAATTTCATTTTGGGTAAATTAGTGTACGTTTTAATCGATAAATTTTATTTTGATATAGATTAGTTAATACAAATAATTTTTTTTAATAGATCTATAATTTTTTAGAAGCATACAAGAAAAAAAAATTTATCTGCATCCTTCAGACGGATGTTTAAACAACCGACTGACCATTTAAACCGCCAGCTGACTATTTTTCGACTGTTAAACAGTCTGCTGTTTTAATAGTCAACTGTTTAATAGCTGACTGTTTAACAGTCGACTGTTAACAGCCGAATGCTTTTCAGATTGTTTCGTCTGTTTTGATCTTGTGCTAGAACTTTGGCTCGGAAACACAAAAGTACTGTACGTGCTTTTTTGAAAAAATTAGGCTCGGAATTATTGGAAGAATTTCTTATGTCGGAAGAACAAGTTCTTTCTTTGACCTTCCCATTTTTTTAATAATTTTATTGCCATTGATTTTTTCTTATAATTAATAATTTTAATTATTAAATAAACAAATTTCTGAATATTTTTTGTTGTAATTAATTAAAAATTATATTCATCATGTAGATATGACTATAATTTCAATTTGTTATTTTGAATTAAGGGTCCGTTTGATTGTAAAGATTGAATTGAAAACGAATTTCAGGAAATTGAATTACCTATAAATTATTTTTCTGGAAAATTGTAAATTATTGTGTTTGATTGGTATAATTTCTCACGTGAAAAATGTTGAAATAAAAATATTTTTTACTGTTCGTTTGACTTTGTTTTATATGAAAATTGTCAATTAAAATTATAGATTTTACTGGTATTGGAATGAAATTTGTTTCCATTGCAAAAATAAAAAAATAAAAATAAAAATTCAAGAAAATCATCTATATTTTAGTGTTCGTTTGATTTTGTTTTACATGAAAATTGCCAATTAAAGGAAGAAATTTTTTTACAATAATTCTTGAAATTTGTTTCCATTTCAAATATAAAAAAAAAAAAGAAAAAAATATTGCTAAAATAGACTAGAAAAATGAATTCTTTTATCAAAAAACTAGAAAATGTTTAGGTGGCATCCATACCAAGAAAAGGAATTCCATGGAAAATTTTATGGAATCAAACATAAAAAATGTGGAAAATGTTCAAATATTTTCCAAGTTCCATGGAATTCTTTTCCTATCAAGCATGGCCTGAATGAAAATGATCGATGAGTATGAAGATGAACGAATAATATACGTGTGGTATTTTGTTACATGTTACACACATAGCCGACCCACTGGGAGCCATGGCCCACCCATGCTGAACTACGTGACATGGTTGTCGAGGCCCCTAAGAATGGTGAACACCTAACATCCAGAAGCAAAAACCATGACGTGGCCCAAATGCTAGAAGGTTGAAGTGCAATGGCTGAGGTGATCCATATCGAGGCCCAAGATGCCGAAGCCGAACTCCAGAACATCTTTGGCATCACTCCATTCCAGAGATCCGGCCTTACACAAGAATCCTCCTTGAATGATTGATGGGACACCCATAATAGAGTGCAAATGTCTTGTTTTGTCAAACATAGTGGCGGCTCTGCCAATTAATAAATAGCAGGTTAGGTAGTCAAACATGATACCTAGATTTAGATATGTAAACCAACAAGATGAAGCCATGTGTACTTCCAATCGAGAGTCACGATTTAACTTGTATTATTATAAATACTCCCTCAAGTATCCCATGTAAAGACTAATGCAAGTTTCAATACAAGAATAATTACTACTGCATACTTCACTCTCTTTCAATACATACGAGTTCACATACATATTCACTGACCGCGATTGGTAATTATTGTACAATCATTGTATAAATGTCTCGCCAAATTTCGAACGTTGTTGTCCCGCGCCTTTGAGCCGCTCCCACACCCTTTCTCAGATCTACATATCTTAGCGTATTGGACTGGGCTTGCGTGAGCGCGGGTGGGTTTAGTATTTGTTGTCCGACCGAAAATTATTTTAAATTTTTCTTTATGGTTCTTGTATAATGCTAAAAAATAATTGAATATACAATGTTAACATAAATTTTATAATTATTTCATTATTACAAAAGAAATTAAATGTACAATGTGTACATAAATATTTTACAATATTTATAATTATTTCATAAATTAAAAAAAAATTACGTGTACAATTTTTACGAATTACAATTAAAATCATATACGGGGCCAGAAGAAGGACTAGCGTAGATTATCTGAGTACTGATCATTCAGTTGCTCCAATACGGTATTGAAATTGTCAAAGTTTTCGTTCCAAGTAGCTTTTCAAGCCATCCGTCTCAACTCCATGTCAAAATGGTTATCCATCCTACAAAAATCTGAATGTCAAAACACTGTACAAGAGATAATGAAATAAAGCATAACAACGAAAAATTGAGTGAATCGAATTATAACTATTGTACGCAAGACGTAGATTTATTTTACATCAACGATAATAAAAAAAATGAATTATCAATTACACCGATGATAATTATCAATTTAAAATTCTTTATTAAATTATATATAAAAAAATTTAAACAAAAGGAAATTATTAAAATTAAATAAAGAATATAAATATTATTTAATTAAAATTGAAAAATTGAAGATTTCTTTACAAAGAATATTAAGTAAACAATTGTAAATTAAAAAAATAAAGGAAAAAAGTATTTTACTAATTTGGTTAAAAGGAATATTTAATTTTGGTAATTATCAATTTAAAATTCTTAATTAGATTATATATATAAAAACTTTAGAGAAAATGAAATTATAAATATTAGTAAAGAATATATAAATATTATTCAATTAAAATTAAAAAATATAAGATTTCTTTAATTTTGGTAATGTAATAAAAGGAATATTTAATTTTGATTAAAAAAATAAAAGGAAAATAAATTTGGCTAACTTGGTTAAAATGATTATTTAATTTTTGTAAATATCAATTTAAAATTCTTAATTAGATTATATATATATATAAAATCTAAAGAAAATGAAATAATAAAACTTAAATAAAGAATATAAATATTATTCAATTAAAATTGAAAAAAATTGAAGACTGTTTAAATTTTGGCAATTTCATCAAAGGAATGTTTAATTTTGGTTAAAAAAATGATAGGAAAAAAAATATTGCTAATTTCGTTAAAAGAAATATTGAATTTCGGGAATTATCAATTTAAAATTCTTAATTAGATTACATATATTAAAAATCTAGAGAAAATCAAATTATAAAAATTAAATAAAGGATATAAATACTATTCAATTAAAAATAAAAATAAATGAAGAATTCTTTAAAATATTGGTAATTTAATAAAAGGAATATTTAGTTTTGGTAAAAAAAATATTTTGCTAATTTTGTTAAAAGGAATATTTAATTATGGTAATTATCAATTTAAAATTCCTAATTAGATTATATATAAAAAAAATTTAAAGAAAATGAAATCATGAAAATTAGAAAAAAAAATATATAAACATTATTCAATTAAAATTGCAAAAATTGAAGATTTCTTTAATTTTGGTAATTTAATAAAAGGGATATTTAATTTTGGTAAAAAAATTAAAAGGAAAATTTTTTTTTGCTAATTTTGTTAAAAGGAACATTTAATTTTGGTAATTATCAATTTAAATTTCTTAATTAGATTATATATAAAAAAAATTTAAAGAAAAATGAAGTTATAAAAATTAGATAAAGAATATAAGTATTATTCAATTAAAATTTCAAAAATTGAAGATTTCTTTAATTTTGATAATTTAATAAAAGGAATATTTAATTTTGGTAAAAAATTAAAAGAAAAAAATATTTTGCTAATTTGGTGAAAAGGAACATTTAATTTTGATAATTATCAATTTAAAATCCTTAATTAGGTTATATATAAAAAAATTTAAAGAAAATAAAATTATAAAAATTAGATAAAGAATATAAATATTATTCAATTAAAATTGTAAAAATTGAAGATTTCATTAATTTTGGTAATTTAAAAAAAAGAATATTTAATTTTGGTAAAAAAGTAAAAGAAAAAAAATATTTTGCTCATTTGGTTAAAAGGAAAATTTAATTTTGGTAATTATCAATTTAAAATTGATAAATTTAATATTTGTATAAAAAGAATTTTGAATTGAATTGAATTTTAAACATACAAAAAAGGAAAAAAAAATAGTTTAAAAGAACATACAAAAATAAAAGGAAAACATAATTCTGGTTAAAAAATTAATTAAAAAAATAAACTCTTTTCCTATTATCAAAAATTAAAATTAAAAGTAAACAAATATTTAAATTAAATAAAGATTAAAGAATATAAATATTATTTAAATAAAATTGAAACAACATACAAAAATAAAAGGGAAAAAATAATTTAGGTTAAAAAATATTTAATATGTTAATTTTTATTTAATTTTTTTAATTTTAAAAATTGAATTAATATTTCTTAATTTAAAAATGTTAACCAAAAAATATAATGTATATATAAAGCATAACAAAAAAATAATTATAAAAACATAAAATACATAAAACAAAACAAAAGAGAAAACTTAAATAAAGAATAAAAATATTATTTAAATTTGGAAATATTAAATTATTAATCACTGTAAAAAAAGAAAAAGAAAAGGGGGGGGGGGGGGGGGGGGGGA